CCTGTTCTCTCAGTCTCTCCTCACAGGGCAGTGTTTCCATACTCTGGGTCATTTTTGCTGCTCTCCTCTGCGCCCTTTCTAATTTACCTGCATCTTTCTTAAATCTTGGTGCCCAGGACTGGACACAGTATTCCAGGTGAGGTCTGACTAGTGAGGAGTATAGAGGAGCTGCTACTTCTCAGGATTTGGAAAGTAATACTTCTGTTAATTTGCCCTTTTCATGGCTGCATCGCATTGTTGGCTCATGTTTAGCCTGTTGTCCACAATTACTCCCAGATCTTTTTCTTTTTCAGTTCTGCTAAGCCACGTATTCCCCATCTTGTATCACTGCATTTGGTTTCTTTTTCCTAGGTGGAGGACTTGGCACTTGTCCTTATTGAATTTCATTCTGTTGGTTTCAGGCCAGTGTCCAAGTTTATCAAGATCGCCCGGGATCTTCATTCTGCCTTTTTGGGAGAATGGATTCTAATGCTGTGGCCACCCCACAATTTGTGGAAGGGACTCTGGACTTCACTGCATGAAGGGCTTTCTGAAAATACCCCTGTTCCCAAGCTCTCATCTGACAAGGGAGAGCCCCCTCGCACTCTTGTCTTTGCACTTTCGTTTCCCCCAGACTCCGTAGTATCACATGGAGCCTGTTTGGTAGGAGGCTCATGTCAGTGATTGGGCCAAAGTCACCCCGGGGGCTTCATGCAGACATGGGAATTGGGGTCTGGGTGTCCCTAGTCCAATTAATTTCCTCCATGCAAATTAATCCATGATTTTAAGCCTCTGTTATATGCATGGTGGTCCCAGCAACAATTTCATATTTCCTGCAAGTGAAACAGCTCCTAACACTTCAAGGTAGTGTGGTTGTCTGTACGGACGCTTCCTTGGTATAACCTCATGCCAGCTGGAGAACTGAGTGATGCTAAGGCCCGTAGGGTGCAAATGAGAGCATCAGTCTCCCAAGCACTCTCTTTCCGTCTTTCTCACACACACCTCCTGGTGGGCTGACCATCTCCCGAGTGAATCCCTCGCTAAGGAGGCCAGATCCCTGCTTGTCCAGCCTCCACCCTGGCAGGGCTAGGAAGGATTCCAGGGAGCTGCTGCTGCCAGTCTGTGTCAACAGTGCTGCATTGGACGGACCAAAGCTGTGCCTCCGGGAAAGCGAGAGCTTATTATATTTTGACTAAGGGATTCCCCCCCTAGCTTTCATTTCCCATCCACACCCTCGGGGTCCTAACCGTCAGGAAGTACTTCCTGGCCTCCACCCGAAATCTTGGTTCCCGGAGCTTTTCTCCGCTGGAACGCGCCCTGCCCTCCTCTGCAGGGGGGAAAGAAACGGGAGCATTCCAGCCTCGGTGATCAGCTGATCAGCTCGGTGTTTGGCTGATCCTTTCAATTTGAGGGACTGAAAGTATTCAAACCGGGGGGGGGAGGGGTCTTGGGAGGTGCAAGAGAGAGAGAGGAGGAGGAGGAGAGAGAGCTCATGGGCACATGCATCCCCCCAGTCCCGGAAAGGCCATGGTGGTGGGGATTTGCTTGCCTTGAAAAGAGAGAGCAATTTCACAGAAGAAGGGAGGAATTCAGCGATGTGTGTGTGTGTGGGGAGCGGGCTGAATCCTGCCCCCTCCCCGCGGCAGACGAACTCACTGGAGCGCCGTTAATTGGAGGCCCGCCACGCGTGTGCGCGCGCTCATGAAGTGGGGCCGCGAGTGACTCAGTGGCTCAGCAGACGGCGACCCTCCCGGTCGCTCGCTCGCTCCCTCGCTCGCTCGCTCGCTCTTCCTCGGAGCAGCCCCGGCTGGCCGTGGGCTGCGGAAGCCGGAACAGCGACGGAGGGATTCCTCCGTCTTGATGTCCGGAGAAGCGCTGGGGTTGCAGTTTTCTCGTTTCCTCTAGCGGTCAAACAGTGGCTGCATTATGCATGCAGACCGAGTGGGTTTAAGGAACAACAGCAATGCTGCTCTCCTCTCCCTCGCCCTCTCCCTCTCTTACACACACAAATTAGCTTCCGGACCTTGAACCATGTGTTCTCCTTTGCAGCCCAGCAATTTGGCGAGGTCCACCCAGAGGCTTTGGAAGAACGCGGTTTTACTCATGCAGCAATTGCACCTTGGATCGCCCTGTGCCCGCTTGCACAAAGGCAGTGGCTCCAGCCGCTCAGCTGCCCATCTGCTCTGGGGCTGTGGTGCATCTTATGTAACCATCGTCTGATTAAAATAGGCAATTGCTGCCATTTCTCCCAAGGATAGGAGAGTCAGGGAGGGGACACACACAAGCTGCTGCAGAGATGATTACGTCCATGTCTTTCCTAAGGCAGGAATGGCACTGGATCAGCTGGAAAAGGGACCATGGGAGTGGTGAATGAAGCGGGGGGGGGGGGTGAGGTTCCGAGAAAGCTGCTGAATGGAGCTGCGAAGTGAAGGGCTGCTGCCAGAAATAGGAGCTGTGCAGCTCTTCCTCTTCCCTTGCTCAGGCCCAGCCTAGCTTTTGTGACAGGTGGCCTAAGGGCAAGACATGAATCCTGGAAGTAGCTGGAAGGGGCCTATAAGACCATCGAGTCCAACCCCCAACTCAGCGCAGGATGCCCAGTTCAAGCATGAGCTGTAGCTGATTCAGAGGCTTAGAACGGGCATCAGGTCAGGCAGAGTGGCACACGCAGTTTCTCACTGGCTGGGAGGCTAGGAAGGATCCTGTGGAGCTGCTGCTGCCAGTCTGCGTCAGCAGTGCTGGGCTAGATAGACCAGAGCTGTGCCTCCAGCTTCCCGTGCCTCTATTCTCAGAGCCAATCCTAGGAGGTGGCCAGGACTGGGAGCTGATTAATTGTAGAGCACGGTGTATGTGGGGCCATTTCTGGACGAGGTGGGTGGGACAGGTGGCATGGCCTTCACTACAAGAGCTGTCATCTCTTTCGAGGAAAGCGAGGGCTCGTTTTGTTTTTATTGAGGGACTTCCCCCCTAGCTTTCATTTCCCATCTCTGCTCCCCCCCCGCCCCCCGCCTCCCAAAGGTAGACAACAAATACCACAATTTGTAGTCATCCTTGTTCCACTAAAATGCACAGTGCAGCAGAGGATGTAATCAAACTGCTGGCTGTCAAAGGAAGGAGAAGGCGAATGGAGCTCTTTCCCAGACCAAAGGTGTGTCAATTTCGCCCGGCACCTTAAGTGCAGTCGGGAACAGGCACTGGTCGAGTTTTCCAAAGACTGAAGCACACAAGACACGCTTTGCAACATGCCTGTGTGCAGCTCCGCTGTCTGGGGCACTGGAGGGGCCACCCACCAAGACCGACAAGATGGGGAGCGTCATTCTGGGCAGGAGCCTCACTGTCGGCCCCAGGAGTCCTGTGAGCTCCCTGTGCAAGCGCCTCAGCCGAGGGAGGCTTGAAGGGTGGCTGTCAGGGAGACGGCCATTGTGTGGGTGGCCCCTTGATTGCAGGGTGGCCCACCTGGCATTCACTTAAACGTTTCCTCTGCTCCCAGACATATAGAAACATAGACTCACAGAAGCAGAGCGAGTCAGAAGGGACCTCCTGGGCCATCTAGTCTGACCCCCGGCTCCAGCCAGCTCCGCTCATGAATTACCTATCATAGAAGGTTCTTGTGGATTTTATTGTTGATTCTTTCGGATTGCTCTGTTTCTGGCATGGAGCTGGTTTGTGGCATATTCCATTCTTAGGGGCTCATCTTTGTAAACCCCCCAGAGAGCTGTGCCCATGGGCTGGTTCCGAAACATGCGTCCACGTGTTCACAGTTGGCCTCTGCCATAGCTGCAGCCCTTGGCTTGCCAATGCATGTGGGACAGGGGCCACTGGTGCCAGGGCTGGTGGGGTGGCGGGCACTAGGCTCTGCCTCCATGGGCAGTTTTGTGTAATATTCTCCCATAGTGGTGAATGGATGCTCCAGGGATGCTTGATGCTAATCTCAGTCCAGCTTCTTTAGCCTGAAATGAGATCCAACGCTGAAAGTTTGGGGTGCTTGGGGAGGGCATGGTTTGGGGTCTTACCAGTTGGGAACTCCTCTCCTGGCAGGAACCTGTCCCTGTGCTGTGGCTGCCTTCTCTGGTTTTCCTCCGAGGGAGGCTTGGAGAGCAGGGTCTCCTCCATTGTGACCCCCTGTTCTAGCATGTTTCCCTGTCCAGGCCCACCTGGTGCCAACCCTGTAGCACTAGGCTAAAGCCACCTCTTCTCTCAGGCGTTTCACAGCATAGGACGAGGCTTTTGCGCAGGCCCTTAATTGCACTTGTGGGGGGCTTAAACTTGCCTTTAGCCGTTTGTGTTGCTCTGTCTGCCATGCGGTTTTGCTCTTGCATGTGTGCAGCTTTCTTAACCACTCAGAGCTCTCCTGATTTCACTCAAGCACTCAGAGCGCTGTGGCTGTTGGGTGGGATAGAAAAGTGCGAAGAAATGACATGAAATGCGCACACGGGATGATGTCCTCTTAGAACACACCCCCTTTGGAAGATGCAGATGGGGAAGAGGCTGGGACTCAGTGTCCTCCTTTCTTGGTTCTCTGGGGCTGTGACGTGGGTTGTGAGGCTTCGCCGAACCTCTGCAGGTGTTCTCACGTGTGCACCTCGAAACAGAACAGCGAGGGCTGGAGGATACGTGGAAGGAGGGCTGCCGGGCAGCGCAGAGAGTCCTTTTGCAGGAGCGGCCTGCCCGACCCCATTATTCAAGCCCCAAATAGATGTGCTTAGAGAAGAATGGGGGATCCGTGTTTGTTGCTCTCTCGCAACACTCCAGTAGCCTTCTCCAAGATGGCATCCTCGAGATGTTTTGGACTTCAGCTCGCATCACCCTCCGGCAGCTTAGCTAATGATCAGGAATCCTCAGAGTTGTGGTCTGAAATTCCTGGAGGGCACGAGCTAGAATTTGGGGCCATCCCATGGACTGACTGGGCAGAGGTTCGGGATGGAGAAGACACATCTTCTTTTTCATATAGCAGTGCAATTTGCATTATGGAATCCGTCCCAGCTAAGATGCGGTGACAGCCAGAAGGTCAGATGGCTTTGAAGCAGAAGGTGAATCTGTGGCAGAGGTGGAGGTGACTCGCAGTGGATGCTGTTCAGCGGGATAGGTGCAGCCTGCACATCCAGGGGCAGGAAGTGTTTGGGGGAAGAGTCTGCTCCCATGATGCCCTGCTCGTGGGCTTCCTGAAGGCACCTGTTGGGTCACCGTCAGAAGCAGAGTGATGGCTTAGGTGGGCTTTTGGTCTGATCCAGTGAAAATCTCCTGGAACAATTTGCATGCAATCAGTGAAATAAGGTCAGTCCCTGCCTGCACTTCGTGATCTAAAAGGAAACAACACAAGAGGAGAAAGGAGAGCGAAGGGAAGAGGAAAAAAAAACAAACTGTTCCAGCAGGACTGAAGAAATGACCCTGTTTCCTCTCTCACGTCTCTCTGTACAGCCTGCAGGAATCAGGGTCTTACTTGATGCTTTCTATTTATACGTGCAAATCATATGACGGGGGCAGGGGGGTCACAGCTACTCTGCAAATTGGCATTGGTTGAACATCAGCCTGAATGGCACAGCTTTTCGGGGAACTGTTGAATCTGATGGATGGGTCTTGGAGAGGCCTTCTAAGCCTTCCAAGCAGGAGATCCAGTCAGCAGCCAGACCGCTGAGCTGGGGGTATGATCCCTTGCAAGACAGGCATCTCTCGGCCAACATGGCTCTTGGGATCCCCACATCTCACCATGGGAATTTGGGTCCATGACAGCCCTCAGTGGCTGGCTGAGTTGAGCAGGTGTTGAGGCCTGGAGCCACCAGTGGCATTAACAACCCGTGCCATCTTCGTGGCTTTTAGCACCTCTCTGACCCGATCAAGCTCCGCTCTCCCTGAAAAGATCCATGGAGTCTTCAGTGAGCAGGTCACAGGCTCATTGGAAGCAAACCCTCTTTCCCCTCATCTGGAGGCCAGCCCTGATTTCAAGCAGCCCTTCAGTCTGATTGGTGTGTGTCCTGACTCCAGAGCAGGAGATGCCACATTGGCTCCATTTGTGGAACAGCCCTTCACAATTTTGCATTGACAATCCCGTACCAGTCTCTTCTCCAGGCTAAATGTGCTTGCAGCTCTTCCAAGGTTCCCTCCAGGGCTTGGTTTCCGCCTCCCTCACCCTCTGTGGTACCGCACCTTTATGCCCCTGCAGTCTTTCAACTGGAAATTGCAATGTATCCACTGCTTTTTCCCCAGGGGACACTGAGGCACATCACCACTTTGTCCTCTCTCCCTCCGAAAAAGAAACTGCAGCGCAGTGCCTGTAACATGTGCAATAGGCTGCCCAGTGACCAGTTGCAAAAGCCAAGGGTCGCGGGTCCCGTGGGGTTGTTTGAGCAAATAACCTTCACGTACCTTTGGGGATTTTCCTTGCTGCAGAAGGAAACCAGGGCAGAAACAGTGGTCTGCCCTGGTAGAGGTCAACCTGGAGAGGTGCCGGGACTGAGTAAGACTTAAATAAGGGATAAATTGTGTCTTTAGCAAAGCCACCCAGCGAGTTTGGTGGTTGAGTGGGTTGAGGACTCATGTTTTCCCAGCTGTTGTCCAACACATTAATGACCAGACTACAGTGGCTAATGCATTGTCTTCCTGCAGCTAACCCTTTTCTAATCCTCACACCCTGAAGAATGTGAGGATTAGAATGCCTAAAGACAAGTGCACACACTTCCAGGTTTTTGTCTATGTTTTGAAATAGGCTATAATAAGTTTTAAAAAACATCTATGTTTTTAAATTGGCTGTTTATTTACCACAAAGTGCTGGCTGTAACCATGCAGAGCGCAAAGGAAGGAAACCACAAATCTCACAGGCCACAATGCAGGGTTTTTAAAGTTGTCATTTTTTGGAACACTCATTGCATCGATGGCCGCATTGCCTTCCTCGCAGAGACAGAGTCAAAACACTAATCAATCCCAGTGAGCAAATCTACCAGCCATTAATGATGCAATGTTCTTTGCAGGCTGGTGCTGGCTGATTCCAATTCTGGCTGCAGGTAGGGAAGACAGGAGGCTATTTCTTCTCGTGGCTTCCAGGACTTTAATTTCTTCACTTTTCAAAGGCTCTGGGGCTCTAGCATACCTTGGAAGACTTACTTTCTCGGAAAGAGGCATATGGAAACATAGAAACATAGAAACAGAGTGAGTCAGAAGGGGCCTCCCAGGCCATTCCGGAAAGTTTGGTTTTGCTTGCAATATGTGCAGAAGGCTCTGACTGTGAGTAGGAGCCATCAAAAATAACCATCCAAGGCAGGCTCCTGTTTATCGTGTTCCCAGCTGCATTTGCACAGAACTTCTCCATAGACTTTGGTCCTTGGAGGAAAGCTGCACCGATCTGGGGAGGTTTCCACAAATCTCCCATTCAGGGGCTGCACACTTTGTGCAATTTCCTGTCTGTGCAGGTCAAGTGGCAATCACAGATAAGGGTGGAAACTGGGGGCAGGATGAGGCACAGGATCTCTTCAAGGATCTTGGCCATCGCCTGGTTGACCTTTGTTCAGGTGGCTCAGATGCATCAGACCCATTTATGCCTCAGTCCATTTGTTGGGAACCTGTCCAGCTACATGGGGAGCTTTTTTCTATGCCCCCACAGCAGTTATTTCCAATTTCCAGGGATGCAACAGTGCTTTCCAACATAGGGATGATGCAGCTTTTCTCTCTGCCTCCTTCCTCCACGGGTTCTATTTGCTCCCCCAAAGCAAGCTGTTCATCCAGCTCAGATCTGAGAAGAGTCTGGAAGGAAGGTGTTCTGGGTTGTGATGCAGGAGCCATATCCATCTTATGGGCAACCACAGAAGAATCACACAAACATTGTGTTAACAGAAAGGAACTTAAATTAGACCCTTTGGACATGGAGCCAGGTTACTGGGAGTCATTTCTGAACATATAAGAGGTTGTGAGGAGTGGTTTTTTCAAGCAAAACTCTGCACTCTGCCAAGACGGGGCTTCTCCAAGCTGGTGCTCTCTAGGAATGTCCAAGAATTTCATTGTCCTTGGCAAAACAGATTGAAACTAAAAAGTGGAATGAGCCACAATGGATTCTGAGGTGAGTGTCGGGGAACTGAAGCCATCTCTGCCACTCCTAGTCAACCCATCCCTCAAGCAATCCTCCCAGAAGATATGGACTTTAAGGCCCATCAGCTCCAGTCAGCAGGGGGGCACAAGGCTGGGGAATGCTGCTACCCACAGGCAGACACAGACTCTGTGGTACCCACTCCACTTCCTTCATTTGGATTTGCTGAGTTACAGGATTATGACATAAATACCCTTTTTTGGCAAAAGTTGGCACACCCGAGCCACCAAGCTATGTTCTGAAACAGCCATCCTGGAAGACACCGGGTTCAACACAATCTCCTGACCCAGGTGGCTGGTGGCTGGAGCCAGTGTTAACAGGAATGTAGGCATGAGAGGGAAATGCAGGCAAGCCATGAACTAAGCACGTGAGAACATGATCTCAGCCTCTAGCGTCTGTGTGTAGGAAGGAAGGTCTGGCCACATAATGCAGGAGCAGAGAGAAATGGCCCTGCTTAAGTTTTATCTAGTCCAACAGCTTCTTTTTGAGACTTTTAGGAGGAGCACAAGTGGGGGATGTCATGACTTGTCCTCCAAGCATTGCTGTTCAGAGGTAGACTGTTTCTAAAGCTGGGGGTTCTATGTAGCCCTCATGGCTAGCAGCTGTTGTTAGACATGTTCTCTGTGATTGTGTCCACATAAAATGGGGGTGCACAACCTCAGGCTTCCCCACTCCAAAAAGTCGAAATGCCTCCCAAAGGCTTGGCTGTTGGTAACAAGAACTTTAATTTGAGATGTCACCCATTTTGTCTTTGGCGCCACTCACAAGGTGACCCCACGAACTTCTCTGAACCAGGCTTGGGCCACTGGGCTCTCCTTAGTGCTTTCTAAGCCAGGAAGCTGCTCCATCTCTCAGGGCAGTGAGTTCCATAAGTGAAAAAGGTGTTGTGAGAAGCAAACCTTAATGTTGGAGGAGTCACCCTGAGCACTCTGTGCTGTACCTGATCCACAAGAGCCAGTGTGGCATGGTGGTGAAGAGCGTGGGACTGGGACTCAGGCGATCTGGGTTCGAGTCCCTGCTCAGCCATGGAGCCAACTGGGTGACTTTGGGCCAGTCACAGACTCGCAGCCCAACCTGCCTCACAGGCTTGTTGTTGTGGGAATAAGATGGAGGAGGAGCATGATGTAAGCTGCCTCGAGCCCTTTGTAGGAAAAGGGCAGGATATAAATCACAATATAAATAAATTCTCCACGTTCCAGTGCAGCCAAGCTCAGGGAACCAAGATTTAGGGTGGATGCCAGAAAGTACTTCCTGATGGACCCCCAGGGTATGGAATGGGCTTCCATGCAAGGTGGCTGAGGCCCCATCGGTGCGGGTGTTCAAGGGTAGGCTGGACGTGCACATGGTGGGCATGTGGTGAGCGGAGCCGGCTGCAGCCAGGGGTCAGACTAGATGGCCCAAGAGGTCCCTTCAGACTCGCTCTGTTTCTCTGTTCCTCTGTTTCTATCCCTGGATCATTTCTTTGGACTGACAGGTGGACCTGGAGGTGACTTGGGGCCGATTCAGGGTCTAGGGATTTGTGTTCCCAGGCCTTAGGCAATGCAGCCCTGTCTTCTTACTGGGGGCAAAACAGAGCGCATGTGTGTGAAAGCCGCTTGAGAATGTGCCACAGCATTTGGCTCCGGCCCCTCTGCCGAGTGGAGAATCCATTCCTCTGCCACAGAAGTGCGATTTAAAGGGCAGAGTCACTAGACCCACATTCAGGCACTGGTGTGCAGCTCTGTATGCGAACAGCTGAGGAGCTGGCATTTGAACGGCTCACTCCCTGTGGTCTGGTAACAAAGGGAGGAGACGGCATTTCCTTTTGGCTGCAGCCAGGGATGGGTAAGCCTGCTGCTTTCATGTTCTCCAGCATTCATCATTTTGTTTTTTGTTTTTAATGTGGATTTGGGTAAGTTGTTATCAGAAATGAATGGAATTGGACTTTTCAGCCATCAGCACCAGCAAATCCGGTTGGTGCAGTGATTCCCAGCATGGAGATAACCATGAGGAACCAGCCTGCCATGGAGCTGTGAAAGCTGAGGATGCTATCAGGGAAAGAGAGAGAGAACGTCGGCTGTAATTCCTCCACAACATGGCAAAATACACAGAGCTGCAGCTCCGAAGAATCAAGCGCTCAGAGCCTTGGGCATGGCTGGGGAGCTCTGCAGTTCTGCAGCCTTGCTTTCTCTCCCATTCAGTTAAAAGCAAACAAACAAGCAAAACAGAACACCTCAAGTTCTTTCCCTCCCAAATATGAAGGTGTTTGTGGATTTGGGAAAGGTCTTCTGAATAATGAACAACAAGAACATCATCATCATCAACAACAACAACAACAACAAGAACAACATTCAGGGTCCAGCGGGGGGCAACAAACATGATCCAGGGTTTGGAAACACTGCTCTGTGAGGAGAGACTGAGGGAACTGGGCATGTTCAGCCTTTGGAAGAGAAGACTGAGGGGGGACATGTTATCCCTCTACAAGTCCCTCAAAGGCTGTCACAAAAAGGAAGGTCAAGGTCTCTTCTTGCTGATGCCAGAGTGTAGGACACAGAATAATCAGTTCAAGTTGCGACAACCCAGATTCAGGCTGGACATCAGGAAAAGCTTCCTCACTGTTGGAGCAAAGTGACAGTGGGACCAGCTGCCTGGAGAGGTGGGGGGCTCTTCCACACTGGAGACATTCAAAAAGAATTTGGGCAGCCCTCTGAGTGGGATGGTGTAATGTGGTGTCCTGCAACAGCAGGGGGTGGACTCGATGGCCTTCATGGCCCCTTCCAACCCTATGATTCCACTTAGTCTCTGGGACTGGGACACTACCTTAGCAAGTACACAATTAAGCATATTCTACAATATACAGGTGTCAAAATTATAATTACATCAACTGAGTATAAAACTAAATCACTGCATAGTTTAAAACAGTATAAAAATATAAACAGTAAGATTAACCCAGTGCAAACTCGCAGGTGATTCCCAAATGTCCAGAAACAGACTGGGAGCCAGTGAGCTGGTAGCTGTTTAAGCAGAGGAAATTCTCACCCAGCCACTGTTGGAACCTCATGGCTGAGCTTTGATTTGCAAGCAGAAGGTCCTCAGTCTGATTCCCAACATGTCCAGGTTGGGCAAGGAGAGACATGGGTCCAAAAACTCGGAGAGCTTCTTTTAGTGCAGATGCTTCTCAAGACCAACATGGTGACTTGAGATGATGTAGCTGCTTATGTTCCTATTTAAATCTGTCCATGGCAGTATAGGTTGGGGGACAAGTGGCTGGAGAGCAGCACTTGTGAAAGGGACCTCGGGGTGCTGGTTGACTGCAGGCTGAACATGAGACAGCAGTGTGATGCGGTGGTCAAGAGGACGAACGCCACCCTTGGTTGCATAGCCAGAAGCGTGGCTTCTAGATCTAGAGAGGTGTTGCTACCGCTCTGTGCGACTCTGGTGTGCCTGCAACTGAGTATTGTGCTCAGTTCTGGGCCCCTCATTACAGGAAGGATATAGCCAGGTTGGAGTCAGTGCAGCGTAGGGCCACAAGGTTGGTGGCCAGTTTGCAGGGGAGGCCGTATGAGGTGAGACTGAGGGAACTGGTTGTTCATGGCTCATAAGCCAACAAACCTACATCATAATCCACCTTTCAGGAAGAACCCACAGTTCAACAGCAAACCACACTCAACCTCTGAGTGTGGGTTGTTGGACTGTATGAACCCAGCCTAGGCCTGGCTCGGTGTTTACCTGTGTACATAGTGAAAGGGGGAACTGGAGTGTTTTCATTAGTGAAGGGTATCTAACCCAGCTTGCTGAAACCCAGAGGGTCTGGCTGCTCTGGTGGTGGGGCATGACTTCTAGATAAGTATCGGCTTTTTGAACCAAGATCCAAGAATAACAACCATTGTTGTCTCTTGTGCTGCGTGAGCTCAAATAAGCCCAGCTGCAGCAGCACCTGTTCCAGGTGTCTTCTTTCTTCATTGGCAGGCGCACCAGCAGACACAGAGGTGGGGTAAGGAAGTGGCCCATGAGGGCTGGAGTCTCAGCTCTTCCATTTGGCACCTCAAATCTAAAGGAGGGTATCTGCCCTGCCACCTGACTGTCCCTGCTTATTTGGTCCTGTGGGGTTGACACCTGGATCCTGGAATCACCTCTGCGTGCACAGCTGAGAGCCTGGCACTGCCCCGGAGAGAATGGCTCTGCCTGATTCCTACGGTCATATCTGGAGTGGTTGTCCCCACTCCCCACGCTGCAAGGGAGGATTAGGCAGGGGCAGCGCCGGCACTGCGGCGGCCCCTGTCTGTGATCCCCACTTTCCAGGGGATCTGTCTGGTGGCATCTCTGTGTGTATTTAGCTCCTGTGGATGAACCTTGTGGAGTTCAATGGCAAGGTTTCGAGGTGGCTAGATGACAGGGGACGTGGTGGATATGGTTTACCTGGATTTTTGTGACGTACCTATTGCCTTTGACAATATCCCCCATGATATCCTGTTGAGAAATTGATGAGCTTCAGGATAGATCAATGCCCTGTTTCGATGGATGAGGGCATGGTTGACGGACCACAAGCAGAGGGTGACTATCAGTGGGGAATCATCAGGATGGCAGCCAGTGATGAGCGGACTCCCCCGGGGCTCAATTCTGGGACCGATTCAGTCAACCTCTCTATTGGTGACCTGGAGGAGGGGGTGACCAATTCACAGACGATACCAAAGTGGGGTGGTGGCCACACCTGAGAAGCAGGTGATCCAGATCCAGGAGGATCGGGACAGGCTGTGGAAGTGGGCGGGGGACAACAGGATGGCGTTCAAAGTGGATTAGTGCAAGGTGTTGAGAGGCAAGTGGCTGGTGAGAAGCACTTGTGACAGGGACCTCGGGATGCTGGTTGATGGCAGGCTGAACAGGAGCCAGCAGTGTGACATGGCGGTTATGAAGGAAAACACCACCCTTGGATGCATAGCTAGAAGTGTGGCTTCCAGATCAAGCTGCACTCTAGTGCTCCCACAACTGGAGTACTATGCCCATTTCTGGGCTCCACATTACATGAGGGACAGAGCAAGGGTGGAAGCCGGAGTGGGGGAGATGACAGATGAGATGCAATTGAGGGAACTGGGTCCTTTTGCCTGGAGAAGAGGAGACTCTGAGGGGTTCTTACAGCAAATTACAGGTATGTGGAGGGATGTCAAATAGTGGAGCTTCATGAGCTGTTCTCGCTGGGCCAGTGGGACAAAGCTCAAGGAACCAGGTTTCGGATTGGATGACAGGAAGTACTTCCTTATGGTTAGGACCCCTAGGATATGGAATGGGCTTCCATGGGAGGTGGTGGAGGCCCCATCAGTGAGGACATTCAAGGAAGGATTGGATGTCCACATGTTGGATAGTCTATGAGCAGAGCTGGTTTGTGCTAGGGGCAGACTAGATGGCCCAGGAGGATCCTTCGGACTTGCCATGTTTCTATGTCCTGTTTCAATTGCTGTTGTTATGTGCTGTCAAGTCATCTCAAACTTATGGGAGCCCTCCAGAATGTCCTATCCATCACAGACCTGCTCAGCTGTCGGCTGGGGTTTCCTTGATGGAGTTAGTCCGTCCTACATTTGGTCTTCCCTTTCCTGGGTCTTCAGCTTCCCTTGGATGACTGTCTTCTCCAGGGATTCTTGCTTTCTCATCCTGAGACTAAACATGGCAGCCTTGTTTTGTTATTTTTGCTTCTAATTTGTGATTGGTTGTTTTGAGTATTGACTTCTCTGTTGGCTGTTCAATGGCTTAATATTTTAATATTATTAAAGTTTAGTATTTTCTTAGGGTGGCATTTTCATGGATGTATTCATTGTTTTAGCTGTTATTGGGTGCTTGTTGATTTTTCTGTCTGCCTCCTCTTAGACATGGGGTACACAACCTCTCTCAAAACACACACAGAGTTTCAACGAGCAGTGTAGTAAATCAAGAGAGCCAAAAACTGCCATCTGGAGAAAATGCAGAACGTGCCACTTCCCCACCTTGCTCTGCCACTGGATGCTCAGAAGGCTCTGAGTTTGGGTGCCACCTGTCATGGCGGGATGGGATTGCGCCGGGATCAGTTATCAGTTCTCCGATTGGCTTGCGCGGGACCTCAGTCCTGACACAGAGCCTGAACTTGTCGCACCTCAGGATGAAGACTCTAAACTGAAGCTCCCCTGAGATGCTGCCTTCTGTGACTGGCTTCCTCAAAGGACCAAGGCCCAGCTGTCCTGGGTCCCCAGTGCCCACCCGCTAGTGCAGGCAGAAGATGAAGATGGGCGATGCATGGCTTGGCTACAGACCGGAGGGCTCCCGCTTCAAGGATCTTCAAGACTGGCGGGGTGCTGGAGCCTCGGAGGGCATAGAGAATGAAGGCTGAGGTGGGGCTGGGCTCCCGAGTCTTCCTGGACCGGGCGTTCTTTGCATGCACATGCTTCTGTCAAGGGGTAGAGTTGATGGGAGACCAGCATCAGGACCACAGAGATGGAGACGGCCTGATGCTCTTCAGATTCTGTCCTGTCATGGCCAAGACAGATGGCCGCTTGCATCGAATGGGAATCGTGAGCACCCTCCCTCCATTGTTATTTTCATGGAATGGAATGGTAGCAATGAGCAGTGCCCCCCCATGGTCCCCCCTCTGGGGATGCGCTATCCAGGGGGCTCTGTTTGGAGTCATCACTGCCTGCATTTGGAGGCCAGGTTGAGAACGGCCTCGTTCCTTTTGAAGCATGCTGTTCGGATTGTTAATTTTTCTGCTGACTGAGGAGAGGCGGATTTGTCAGGGCCATCATGGCAGGGGGCATGGAAATGGAAGCCGCCCCATCCCACAGTCCCCCTGCCACTTGTTTCGCCCTGCGCTTCCTACCCGCAGTCACAAAGGGAGACACCGACTCACACGCTCGCAAAATGAACGGGAGGGCGAGGCCGGCCCTTGAGAACACAAAGCGGCCTGTCCATGGTGCTGAAAGGCGTTCATCCCCGTGCCCGGCACACAGGATTGCCCCCCATATCCTGGGTGTTGATCTGCACTCTCTCCCCCTCTGTATACACACGTGCCTTTGAGTGCCATGTCTGACTCTTCCAACCCTGTTCCAATATCCACCACCCCAGATGCTTGGCCTGGCCTTCTGGGCTGCCCATGGACTTCACAGTCCCAGAGGTGGATCTCTCAGGATGGGTTGGAGCAAGAGGGAGGGGTCACAAGGCCCAACACTAACAGGACAAGGGAGATATCTCCACCCCACATCCCAAACTCAGCCCTTTAATCTCTCTCCCCCCCCCCACCTTTCTTTCTGGGAAGACATTAGCTCCTGATGTAATTTCTTTTTCTTCCTGTGATTCCTGTTAATGAGATGCAAATAATGCCAGCAAATCTGACTCACAAAGCAATTAGAGTCTCCAAAGTTGTGTGCCCAACAAACTGATACAATATTTTTGAGTCTTTTGACAAATAGGAAAAAAAATAAAAAAATGAAAGCCAAAAGAGTCGGGGTGAGATGGAAGAATCGGTGTGGTGACTCACATGAACCTTTCTCCTGCCGCTGCAATGGAGATCATCTTGACTTGAGAGAAAACCCGCCCAGCACCAGAAGGCAACTCTGATCTTCAGTGCTATGTGGAACATGTTAGATTTCTGAGCTGTTGGATGGAGTCCAGCTGTCCATATTACTTCACGCTGCTGGTTGCCAGCTCGTCTCCTGCCTCCTGCGCCTGTGCTTTTGACAGCTGCTTCACATGCAGAAAGTTACGGGATGCTACCTGCTATGAGTATTGCTACTGAACACCATCAGGCCGCTAGGATTTCGCAGTTTTCGCCCCTTTGTTATCTTCTGTGATTCGACTGAGCTGCTGCACATGGCATGAGGCTTCCAGGCGTGATGCTGCCCCTTTGCACCCTGCTGGCTATAATTTTGCTATGTGAGCTGGGATCTCCCACTTCTTCCCAGGGTGCCTAGAGTTCTCCTGTCACTCACTACCTTGGTCTGCCTTTATAAAGTACCTGGGACAGAGAACTTCAAGATCACTGGCACTTGGTGAGAAAATGGCAGTGTTCTGAGCACCTAAGCTGCCTCTGGGAAGTGGTGGATGTGATGCTTTGCGGATGTGGGTGTCAAAGGATGGGAGTCCCTCCTTCCCCAAGCAGACAGAAGTTGGGGTGTGGGGAGTCAACAAGGATAATTGGCTTGGGCAGGACTGGTGGCCAGAGGAATGGACAGCTTGAGGCAGAAAAGGGGAAAGTGCTGAATGCCAGCCCCACAAGAAGCTCAGCACTATGGACAGCACCCACGAGGCCCAAAAGAAATGCTGCAATGAATAAGGACTCT